ATTCAAGAATAGTTACGGCTTCCGTATAGTTAGTAGCAATGATATTCTCTGTAAACCCGTAGTCTGCAAGCATCGATTCCAGATCGGCGGCAACAACCATTTCATCTTCAACGATCAGGATATTCATCGTGCCGCAAAATACGAATGGCTGCACAGAATCGAATCAACAGGCGCGTTATTTTTAATACCGCGCTTCAATTTAATAAAACCTCATTCCTTTTCTTCTGATTTGCAATCCCATGTTATTCAGTCAACCCTACTTGGTGGTTATGCATGACAGGTCACTTTTCTTTAAGTTCTTTTCCCCTGATGGAAAAGGACCAAAAGATCAAGTTGAATATTAATCCGGGCGATTGGCGGGTTAGGTTAGTTATGCAGATAGCTGGGCGAAGTCCCCCCGGCGGCTATTGAAACAACCAAGGCGCTAACTAAACGAGGTTAGATTTGCAACCTAGCTTCGTCACGCAATCTGCTTTCGTTGCAGCTCATCCTTAAAGTAAAGCGTGCAAACAAGCCCGTCCTGGTTCGTCCACTGAGCCGTACCGGCCATCTGCCGTATCATAAGGCTGATCAACTGCATGCCCATGCTGCGGTTATTGCCCTGCAACTCCGGAAGCCCCGGGCCATTATCCCGGTAGATCATCCGATACCCTTCTTCAATCCTTGTTACCTCAATAGCTATGACCAGGCTTTCATCTGCCTTGCGGGCATGTTTACAGGAATTTGTTATCAACTCGGTGATCACCAATCCGAGCAGCACAGCCGTATCAATATCCAGCATGATCTCCGTTTGCACATTGATCGTTGCGGTGCCATGCACTGCCTGGATCGCCTTAGCCAACTGCTGTATATAATCGGCGAGTAACACCACTTCCTGCTCTTTATCCTGGTAAAGCTTTTGATGAATAATGGCGATCGACTGAATACGGGTAACGGTGTCGGAGAGCAACCGTGCCACATCGGGATGATCATTTTTCCGAAGCTGCATATTGATCAGTGAAGTGATCACCTGCAGGTTGTTCTTCACACGGTGGTGTATCTCTTTCATCAGCCATTGCAGCCGTTCGGCCTGACTGGAGATGACTTTGTTTGCCCGTTTTTGACGCCGGTACTGTATCAATGCAAATATCCCCAGGCCGATTGCAACCAGCAATACCAGTAGTACGATCAACAACCACTGTTGTTGGATAGAAGCTGTACGTGACAAGGTACGGATCGATGTTTCCTGTTCCCGGGTTTTATATTTTGTTTCCAGCTCTGCTATCTTTTTTTGCAGCTCACCTTCTTTTAATTCAGCGAACAGGCTGTCGGCAATACCATAAGCCCTCAGTGCTTCCTTATACCTTTCCATATTATAAAAAGCTTTGGCGCGGTTGATCTGGAAGCTTGGCATCAGGGCATTGATCCCCTTTTCTTTCATTAATACAATACCGCTGTCCAGTATCTTTAAAGCTTCCGGGTACTTTTCCTGAAAGGCATATAATTCGGCATAAGCACTGTAAATATTCAGGGCAATTCTGGGGTCGCCAAACCGGTCGGCAATTTTGCGGGAACGCTTCAGATCGAAAGCCGCGGAATCCAGCTGATCAAGTCCCATATGCGCGAAAGCCATATAGCAATAGGTATAGCCGGCGATTCTGGCGTCCGGCGCAGCATGTTGCAATGCCTCATAAAAGGCAGCCAATGCTTCTTCATAACGCCCTCTCTCATTATAACTCTGTCCCAGGTTGTTCAGCGTTTTAGGCAAGGTCGTTTTGTCTGATGCCCGCCGCAATAAGGCAACGGCCTCTTCCTGGTAGGCAATGGCTTTCTTCTCTTCTGTAATGATGGTACTGGCCCGGCTAAGGAGATCTAAAGTCCTGGCAATTGCAGGCGTATCCGCTACTTCTTTAGCTTCTTTCAATATTTCAAGCCCCTCATTGGTCAGTTGCACATGGTCGCTGTTCAATTCATAAAGCTCCAGCAGGCTAAGGCGTGTCAGTAAATACAAATGCCCGTTGTAACCTTCTTTTTTAAAAATCCCGATTGCTTCATACCCGGTTTTAGAAAGGCTGTCGTACGCTCCGTTCTGGCCGTAAAGCATCGCCAGGTAGTGAAGCCCGAACCCCTCATAAAGCCGGTTGCCAGCCTTGCGGCTCTGGGCTATCCCCTTCCGGTAATTGTCAAGCGCGGCAGTTTTATTACCGGTGTCAAGGGCAGCGGAACCAGCGGTATAATGTACAAGGATCGTGGTGGTGTCCTTTGTATTAACTAAAGCATCGCGGCTATTGTTTTGGCAGGCAGGCAGGTAGATAAGCAACAATAGCAGTCCACAAAGGGTACGGATAAGCGATGTTTTTCTTGTAGCAAATGGCATGCTGTGCAACATACAACAAAGTGGAATATGGAGATAGTACACAGGCAGGAACCTGCGGTTATTGTGGGACGAACCAGGAGACTTGCGTTTCGCAGGCAAAAATAAAAATCCTGAAAAATATTGA